TGATCGATTTAGAGATGGAAATGTCGACTGTAAGTTGTGACCAAATTAGAGACCGAATTTAAATTTTAGTTTAAATAAATAAAAAATTTGTTGGCTACTAAAATTGCAACCAAATAATTCGGTCGCAAAATTGGTGTTTAAAAGCTAGGCAACCAATACTATAGTGACGATTTCTGAAGTTCTAGCGACGAATGTATTCGGTCGCTAACTTGCGACGAAAACAATTTCAGTCGCTATTATCAACAACAACTAGGATTTTAGCGATGAATTTTTTTAGTCTCTAATTCGGTCTTTAAATGTAATATCAACCGAAATAGATTAAATAGCAACGAATTTTAGTGGTCACTAAAACATGATTTTTTTGTAGTGTCATAGATTCATGATTACATGCAATTATACAGAATTAAACATGATTACTTATCAATTACTACAAATAGAGCACCTAAGAAGAGTATAGAACACAAAATCATAGTGTACATTCATCATTTGGGACTTCTCCCTCACACAACAAAAGAAAGATTGGGAGTCAATCTTACCACTTCACAGATATTAAAGTGAGACTACTCACTTTCCCCTTACTTTGATGAATGCCAAAAGTAGGGTATGAATCTCAAGAATGATCTTTGAAAACCTTTGGTTCTCCAATATCTTTAAAAGCATAGAAAGAAAGTAAATGTAAGGAAACACCGAAAACCTAAACTAACTTTAACCCCTTTTAAAGTCTCTTAACCCATGTTTTAACACCTTTATAAAACAACTAACGACAATTACCCTCTTTATCCCTTAATTATTTAAAACTTATAAATAAATACATAAAATAAAAATATTTCTTTAAACACAATAAAATAACTTTGCAACATTTATTTTTTATCTAAAACATTCTATTTATAATTAAAACCTCTCAATTAATTAAGTAAAACTCTTATTAATTTATTTTAAAAAAAATTGAGGTGTTATAAGCTACACTATCTAATAAGATAGCTTTCAAGAAGTTCATGTATGTCTACAACATGAAACTTGTATACAAGATTCTTCACAACTTGTTCTTGTGATCATGCCAACAAAATATGAATTGTTTATAATCTATTTTGATACTAGAGCCGTCAAAATGGCTATGGCTTGTGGGCCAACCTGACCCACCTTGAAAATAGGTCGGGACAAAAAAAATTGAGTTTTATAGTAGGTGGGTATATCTAAACCCGGCCCACTTGAGATGAATCCATGGTGGGTCGGGCAACCCACCAGCCCACTAATTGTTTTTTGCAATTATTTGTAGTTAATTTTGTATGATGGGATATTGAAAATTTTTATTTTAGACTTTTATCATGATTTGTATTTAATTTTGTATGATGAGTTATGACTTATAGCTATTAATGATGTTAATTTTATGACTATTATGTTAATTTATAATTAATTTTAAATTTTAAATTTCGTTGATAATTTTTTTTTAATTTTTGGTGGGCTGGTGGACTGGCCTGTATAACCCACCAACCCATGGTGGGACAGGCCTAGCCAGAAAAATTTTGAGAAAATCAAAAGTGAGTCAGGTTAGGTTAGTCTGTTTTTAAAGTGGGTCAAGGTGGGTCGGTCCACATGAACCGGGCTGGCCCGTTTTGACAACTCTATTTAATACAATGTTTTATTTTTTTTAACAAATAATTGTGTTATATTAATACAGACTATATTTTTGTACCAAAAATAATTGCATGCTATGTTTGCAATTTCATTGCTTTTAAAGCATCTCTAGGGAAGTGCTTATTTGTATCTTATTATTAAACAACGGTACTTATATAACAACTTCGCTTATGAATTAAAAAAAAATATTTTTAAAAATATTTGTAGGAGTGTGTTAACATAATATAAAAAATTGTTTAAAATTAAACAATGACTTTTAAATAAGTAACATCGCTTATGAATTAAAAAGATATATTTTTGAGAGTTGGTTCTTTTGGGGGAAAACCCCGAATACAAACTACTCCTACAAATCAAAGAAACAACCATGTATCGTCAAACTTTCATCATCGACAAATCAAAAAGCATTCACTATAGATTTGAAGGGAAGCACGAAACATGAAGAAACCATTTATTGTAGCATTGTAGATCAAGGTTGAAGGTTCCGACATGCAAATGGTATCACTACAACACTGCACTGCAAATCGAGTTGAAGGTTCCAACATGTGAACAGTGTCACTGCAGCATTGTAGATCGAGGTCCTGCATCGTTGGGAAATTCTCGGAAGTATTGAGGAAACCATCTTTGAGGCACCAATTATATGTAGGCATCCTAGGTTGGGGCAAGCGGTGGCAAGGCCAATGTCGTTCACCTTGACGTGGAACATGTACTTGTGCTTTAATATTTCTCCAATGTAAAATTTCCTTCACCCTTTGTACTTGAAGCTTGTCCTCAACTATTGATATATCTAATAATTTACATCTTATTTTTATTATAACATACTTTGTACAGAAGATAGATTTTTGTAACAAATAATAAAATTAACAAAACAACTTGGTAGGATATTTTTGACAATATTTCATGACAATTCCTTTAGTGCAAGTTTTATTTAGATGGTATCAATATTCCTCTAACTAGGACCATTTAAATGATGTCATGTGTGATTTTTATTAGACTTATTATTTTATAAGCAAGTTTTAGTTATTGTAGATTAGTCCCTCATTAATTTATTACATTTTGGAGAATAGCTTCACATTACTTACATGTCTCTGACCTTTTGGTTTCATTCTCTCTCACAAAAATATTTCTTTCTCTTGTTCTCTCTAACTTCAATGATTTTCAACAAAGAATTTCAACTCAGATTTGGATTTCATTCTTCATATGTTTTATTCATTAGAGTAACATGTAAAGTGTTCATTTTTATATTCAATGAAGTATGATAAACCTTAAGCCCTAAAAGTAGGTTCATTTAGCAAAGGAGATGGATATACCGAAAACGTGAAGATGATTAAGCTACCAAATTTGAAAGAAGATGAAGTTACCCAAAAATGTGAAGAAGATGCTATGAAAACGGTGAAGAAGATGAAGTTACCATAAATGCGAAGAGGATGAAGTTACCAAAATTACGAGAATGATAATTTCAGAGGTACTGATTAATGTAGTTTATCTTGTAAATGGGGAAGAAGAAGACTCTGCGAAGAAGACGAAAATGGTTGTTTGTCTTCTAAGTGCTCCCATGAGGGAGAATGATAAGATGATTTCTGTGAATAAGGAATATAAAGAACAAAAACAAATGAAGAACGAAATCTAAATCTGAGTTGAAATCCTCTATTGAAAATCATCGAAGTTCGAGAGAATAAGAGAAAGAAATGTTTTCATGAGAGAGAATGAAACTGAAAGGTCAAAGGCATGTAAATAATATGAGACTATTTTCCAAAATATAATAAATTAATGAGAGACTAATCTGCAAAAATTGAAACTTCTTATAAAATAATAAGTTTGATAAAAATCACACATCACATCATTTAAATAGTCATAGTAAGATGGAACATTGATATTCTCTAAATAAAACTCGCATAAAAGGAATTGTCATATTTCAGACATGAGAATAGTAAAAATTAATTTTTATTTATTGTTACAAATATTTTATCATCATGTATTTCTCATTGTCATGTTACTTTTTTAATATTTAATATTTTATACGTATTCAAATAATTATGTAAATTTTATTATTAACTTTTTATGCATGTTAAAAGTATTATTTGTTACACATAATTAAATTAACTTTTAAAGTTGTCAAAAAGTGAAATACAAATAAAAAAAATTATAAAAGTGTAGGTTGATTATAAGATTCTACTATTAGAACAAAACTTGTAATAAAAATATAGTATTAGTTGTTTAAGATTGATGCAGTAATAAATTTCATTTAAAGTAAAATAAATTTTTTGATGAGTTACTTATAAGAATCATTATTAAAAATATTTTTATTTGAGACATGTTAATTTATTATATATATTTTTATCCATAGAAAAGTATTTATTAAAGAGGTAGCTATGGACACTCCAATTCCTTTACTGAAAAAGAAAAAAACAAACAAACAAACAAACATCGTTTTCGGGCTAAAACCTTGCTTAATTTTTCAAACACTCACTCATATTCATGATCTTTCAAGCTGACTGAGATATATACAAGATAAAACCGGTTAATGGGGAAGGGAAAATTATATTATAAGATAAACAGCAAACAAACACCAACAACTTGAATGTAAACCTGAACTAAAACAACTATAATATATTAATTTCTGTGCGACTATGACTACCATAACAACCGCCATCACTATCTGTTTGAATAGCAACTGCTATTCTCAATATATTCATCATTACGGGTCTTCGCACCTCCTGAGAAATTATACACCATAACTGATTCGCTGCTTTATCAGAAATTATATATTATGTAATATTGAATTATATGATATCTATATAATCTCAATATATATATATATATATATATATATATATATATATTTTATGTATATACTATA